CCAAAGAGACCATAACTGACATCCAAGCAGATATATGCACACCCATGTTTATTGCAGCTTTTTTCACAATAGCAAGGAGTTGGAAACAGCCCAGGTGTCCATCACCAAACAAATGGATAGAGAAGCTCTGGTATATTCACACAATGAAATACTATGCTGCATTGAAAAACAAGGAACTCAAGAACTGTTATTCAAAATGGGTAACCGTGGAGGACATTATGCTGAGTGAAAGATCTCAGTCACAAAAGGACAAATACTGTATGGTGCCACTGTTGTAGAATGGGACTGATATCAGGGTTGTGGTAAGACTGAGAAAAACTGGATAAATTATGTATACTGCATTGAAACAGATGAGGGAGAGAATAATTTAAAAGCAATATGTGATAGAGTATTATAGTTATCACAAGAGTCCAGAACTAAGGTTGCATAGTGGATAGAGTGTACTTGGGGCAGTGGGAGGGGTGTGGGGGGATTGTATACCAAAGGAAGAATTTTTCTTTTACTTTTCAAAGAGAGGAGTGAACTGGGGAGCGGAGGAGAGGTGGAGGGGGGAGGACTGGGTAGGAAGAAAAGTACAACAATGAATGAATGGAAATCCAAAATCTCTGTAAATGTTCATTAAAATTATTAAAATTTTTTTAAAAAAGAAACTTTCATTCAAAGCATACTTCTGAAAAGTTTTTACTTGAGTTAGTAGGCTTGCAGATGACCTTGGAGTAATTTTTTTTTTTTACATTTTATACTGATTTACTAGTTTTATCCCCCTTTATTCTTCTGATACTGGTTCTTTGAAGAACCTAGTCAGAGTCATAATCATTGGTTGACTATGTGCATTCAGAAATGATCATGTGACCCAATTTAGGCCAATTAGACCCTCTCCTGGCAATTCAAATGATGGGAAGGACAGAGTATGGTTGGAGTGACCCTCCTCAACTTAGCAGCTCCTTGATTAGATCGTCCATTTGTTCCTGCTCTCTGAACCTCTGCTACTCTGGTTTCTCGCCTTTCCAAAGTGGTTCTGCTTTGCTGGGATTTTATGAACTTCCCCAAATCTTTTCAGAAATCATTTTGGATTACACAGTCTGATCTACAACCCATCAAGAGGATCAAGGAAAGGGCAGCCTTTCTTCCATGCTTGGAGTCACCAGGACACACAAGGGATGCAGTAGCAAACAGCAACATTTCATACATGTGGAGTCCTGCAGTATTTGGTTTCTTAATGCTTTCTAGATTCATGTGTTTTGTATGAATCATTACTTCATTTTTTTTATGGTTGAATTCTATTCCGTTGTTGAATAGATATTTTTGCTTATCCATTCACATATTAATAAACATTTGAGTTGTTTGCACTATTTTACTATTATGGATTGTGCTGCTGTAAACATTGATGAACAAACACCTTGAAATTATTCTGGGTCTATACGAGTAGAATTGCTGGTAACAGGGTAATTCTACTGAACTTTTAAAGAAATTGTCAAACTGTCTTCCACTCTGGCTATGCCATTTTACATTCCCACCTGCAAAAAGTAAAAGGGTTCCAATTTCTCCACCTCCTAACCAATAGTTGGTATTTTCTTCTGGTTGTTATTTTTATCATAGTCATTTTGCTGGGTGAACTTGGATATTCAAATGCTCACATTTAATTAGCAAACTGTCTATATGTAACCTGTAGCAGAAAGTACTATAAGTAGTCTGTCTTTATGGTAGCATAGCTCCACAGAGATAGTGGAAGAGATGATGCAGATGAGCTATTGTCAGAGAATTCGAAGGAACCAGCAGACACCATGACTGCAAAATGAAGGAAGTTCAGGGGAGCCACACCCAGAAAACAGTGCTTAGCTAGGGGCTGCTTTCTACCACAAGTACGCAGAGTAAAGGCTGGTGGAGTGCAAAGCGGAACCAAAGTTATTAAAAGAATGGATGAGTCGGTCCATAGCAAGAGACTAAAATTTCAAGGGGCAGTTTGATTCATTATGAACTCAAAAAGTTGACGTGTCGCTCTTTTACAGTCCTATGCCAGCCAAAGCCAGCAAGGGAATTCTGGTCAAAGAGAAGTGTGGTCTAAGTAAGGAAAACAAGTATGCTAGGCATATTGCCAAGATATTTAAAAAGGGGAATCTTCATATGTTCAGATAAAGCTATGAGAAATGAGGAATAGTTTGACCAGAAAGTAAGGAAATACTATTTCTGGAACTTTCTTTGCTTAAAGTAGTCTGTCTTATTGGAGGGGAAGGTTCAACTCTTCTACACAACTCTCCTGCAGATTAATCAAAAAAAGACAAATGAATGCTTGGGCTTCAGTCTCTAGATGTTGGATTTGTTGTGGTGTTTTGTTGGTTTTTTTACTTTGTCACTCAGAGCATTTCCTATTCCTGATTACAGAAAATGTTCAAACTCAAATTCAGCATTGAAAGCACACACTCTTCCTTCCCTCTGAACGCTATCTTACTGAGTATTGGTGGATCCCACGGCCATGGTGCCCACCGACTGTGCAATCACTCCCATTTCCTCCTCTTTTCCATCTCCTCAGCTAGGTGGCTTCTTTTCTCTCTCCTTTTTTTGCTAACTTTTTAAGAGTGATTTTAGGGAAAGTTTACAAAGCGAATTGTCTTCCCTTTCAAAACTTCACACACATTATGCCTTCTTTTCACTTCCTCCCTGTGTCTCGGTCTGCATTAGTCTATCTCATCCCTTACTGCCTTCTGTTTCCTTCATTGCCTTCGAATCAGAACCAATTCATAGCAGACCCTCTAGCAGGTTTCCAAGGATGTATGTCACACAGGAGGAGATTGTACATCCTTCTTCTGTAGACTCACTGGTGGATTTGAACTGACTACCTTTGGATAGGGAGCACAACTCCCTACCCATTAGGCCAGCAGACATAGTCGTCTTAAAATGTTAAGATGGCCTTCAAATGGATTGACTTACACTCCATAAAGAATAACCATTCCAAGATATAATGTCTTTGTGGTAAGTGAAGCTCAAGATCATCAGACAGAAAAGTCAGGAGCCAGCTGATGAACAGACTATCAACTGCTCATATATCATAACATCATTTATAATATCATTCTTTCTTATTTTTTATAAAATAGGGGAGTTTCCCCATTGTCTTCATGGTTCTCCTTTACTTTGTTTCTGTTATGTCTTGATATTGTCTTTTTTTTTTAATATATTATTTCAGCTTCAACTTGAACTTGCATATGAAAACAGAAACACAGGGACAAAGTAAAGAGTGCTTGAACAATGTGAGATTGTAGTTGATGTCATGAAACACAGTAAGTACAAACTGTTGGATAGAAAAAAAATTTGGTCTGTAGACTTTCCCTCAAATCTCAATTAAAATTAACAACTCAGAGAAAGAGGGGTGGGGGAGGAAGTTGCTGAGTCAAGATGAGGAAGAGGTTGAGGAAATGGAGGTGATTGACAGGGCAAGAAGGGGTCATGACAAAGCCACTGACCAAGACCAGGAAAGCTATGACGATCGGGGGATTTTTCAGCGAAGTAAGTTCGGAAGGGAAAGAAGAGTATGTCTTTGTTTTGAAGAAAATGAAAACAAATCCAGAGGAGTCAGGCTATGACCTCTCCAAGTTATCGTGCCTGAATTTGGAGACCTTGTCAAGATTAGATATGAATCTCTGAGCACTACGGACTGAAGACAATATGAGTTGTGGGATGACACCATACATGGTGAAAGCAAAATGTCATTAAAAAAGACAGGAAAGACGGAAAGAAAAAGCCAACATGGATGTCAGAAGACACTCTGACACTTGCTTTAGAACACTGAGAAGTTAAAGCAAATGGGGAAAAACAATGAAGTAAGAGAGCTAAAGGAGAGCTCTGGGGGCCTAATGAGTATGAAGTTGTGGTACGGCCCAATAGCAGGCAGTTTGAAGCCACCAGCTTCTCCTCGGGAGAAAGAAAGGTAATCTCCTCTGGTGCAGTTTACCGCTATGAGTCAGCTCTGCACACAACAACAAAGAGAGCTGAACAGAGCTGTCAAAGAGCAGTCTGAGCAAAGAAAGAATTATAACAAAACGTTCAAAGGACAACCAAAAGGGAAGAACTCACTCAGCATTTCTCAAGCTCAAAGAATGGAAGGAGAATTCAAGCCTGAATTTGCAATACTGAAGAATTCCATTGGCATGATGGGCAAAGTGTTGGGCTGCTCACCAACATTTGGTGGGCCAGACTTACTATGAGCCAAGAATAACCAGAAGGCATCCAACTACTGTCACTGTCTGTTCACCGGCAACTTGACAGTGACACCCTGATGGGAGTAAGCACGACAGATATACACCACTCCGGGAGAGGATCAGAGTTAATCCAGCTCGATTTTATTGAGATAAACACTGCACTCATATACACAGGAAAACAGGATAGGATGGGCTTACAGACATGGGACATGTGGATTGGTCAGGAACCTCAGCCTTGTGAGGATCACTCCCAGCTCAACAAAAGCGGCAGCCATCTTCCCAGGTGGTAAGTTTTCTCAAGCTGGTACAGCCAAACACAGGGGAGCTTACTCTTCCCTGTATTAAAGGCTGTTGGGAGGCTTGAACCTATCTGGAGCTCAGGCAACCTGTCCTGGCCAGAGGCACCCCCTTCTTCCCCAACATTCCACAACATCTCCTCCCTTTTTCTTTTAAATGAGCCCAAAGAAGGGAAAGTTTCTGGTGTCTCTTGGGAGGAGGACAATCCAACAAAGGTAGGAGTAGAGATTATTCAGTGAAGCTCCTCAAGCATTCTGTCTTGTGAAGAGATCTGCAGCCACTCTTGTGACAGTAACTGGGGAGATAACAAGAAAAGTTAGAATTGTTATGCCTTAATTTCTGGACTGAATTGGGAGATCAATATAGGATAGTGAGGAAAGCCATGTACATTTAGGAAATGTGTGTGAAGAGATAAAAGTTACAAAGCCTGATTAGTTTCTCCCACTACAGCACTATTGATGGTCAAAGCAGCATTAAGCAGCGTTATAAACACAGGACCACTGGGTTTACCACTCTCAAGGTCAAGAGCCTGTTGGTTGAGTGCCTTCACCATTCCCCAGGTCACAGGTGTCTGTGGCTTCTGGGAGTTCAGCTTTCTTTTCCACTGCCTCATCTTCTTGTCGTGGATGCTCAATCGACAAATCTTCTTGGTAGGCGGGTTGGAATCGGACATGATGAGCAGGAATCCACACAGAATGTGGCTTGTTCTGTGGGAAAATACAAACAAAACCTCTCCCAACGGTTAGTAAAGGATCTGGCCCTTTCCATAATTGGATCCTTCCATGTAACCCATATTGGTAGCTCACTGGGAGGTGTATCTGATTGCCAGTAAACACACATGGGAGGTTTTGAAAAAACTGCCCTCATTATATCTTTCCCATCTTTAGGGGTATTTAAATTAAGGCTTAATGAATTAAGCTGTGCCTTTGCCATGGAGAATGAGCTCCATCATCTCTAACAGCTGTCTTAAGTTCTTTTAACTCTCTCAGCACACGGATAACCTATAGGATGTTCAGGTGTGGGATATATGCCAAAAAGAAACACATGATGCCTCAGTGTTAGCACCACTGATCACACAATACCTTGGTAAAGGACGTTCAGGTGTTAAGCACATGCCAACAGAGCTCCACCCAGAATCCTACTGATTACACAACACCTCAGCCCAAAAATTTCCCATTTCTTCACTGCTTTCTCTATATTGTCCCCACCTGCTCTCTTTGTGTTCCCCACTTCTCGGGAGACTACAGAAGAGAAGAAGTGGTGAATCATCTTCTCTAAATTCTTTAGGGCTCTTTTTAGATCCCCTACCATAACACTTTATAAGCAGCTGATGGTGCCTTTCTTTTAATGGTGCCAGAGTCTTTGTCAAAACCATTTCTGATTGATCTCCTGCGTCAACATGTCCTTTGCCATTCCCTGTCATGCCCCTGAGAGAGATTTCACCCTGATTCATTAGTAGAGGGAATGCTGTATCCTCTTAGCTACTTCCTTCTGGAAAAGGGCGTTGTAGGTCCCAGGGTGAAAATCTTCTCTCACTACTCTAAAGGGCCACAGGCTTGCACATTAAAGATGTAAGCAGCAGTAATCCAATAGGTAATAACAACTACTGTTGTCCAAAAGGAAAAAGCTTGAGATTGTGTAAGTTTGACCTCCCCATTTTCTAACAAGACATTAAACACTTTACTTAAGGATCTTTCAAATTGATTGCTGAATCTTAAATTGCTTGCCAAATTGTTTTAAATTATTTGCTGAATTTTTAAAAATTACTTGCCCAATTACCCTTGCTAAGGCAAGGGAACACTTGCCCGGTAAGATGGTTCTCTGCTTCCTGACAGAGGCAAGTGTGGAAAGAAGAGAGAAGAAGAAAGAACAGGAAAGAATTTTCCCTTGTTTTCACTGAAGCAAGGGGTGCTTACTCGAAAACCTACGCCAGGTCTCTTCCCTTCCACCTGCATCAAGTTTTTAAGCCTACCAAGACCCCCCAAATTATACCAGGATTCCAAAACTATGCCAGGGCACCAAAGCTCGGATCTTGCCGTACAGGAGTGAGTATGGAAAGGGGTGTTCACCCAATACCTGATGAGAGTGAGCACAAAGGGTATTCACCCGAAAACTTGACGGGAGCGATCATAGAGGGTATTCACCTGATACTACATTAGGTTTGTCCCTGTTCTGGCACTATATGTTGCTGTCTGTTCACCAGCAACTTGACAGTGACACCCTGATGGGAGTAAGCACAACAGACAGAGATACATCACTCTGGGAGAGGATCAGAGTCAATCCAGCTCGATTTTATTGAGATAAGCACTGCACTTATACACGCAGGAAAAAAGGATAGGATGGGTTTACAGACGTGGAACATGTGGATTGGTCAGGGGAACCTCAGCCTTGTGAGGATCACTCCCAGCTCAACAAAAGAGGCAGCCATCTTCCCAGGTGGTGAGCTTTCTCAAGCTGGTACAGCCAAACACAGGGGAGCTTTCTCTACCCCATGTTAAAGGCCATTGGGAGGCTTGCACCTGTCTGGAGCTTAGGTGACCTGTCCTGGCCAGAGACACTCCCTTCATTCCACAACATTCCACAACAAACTATGACAACAACATGGAATATCAGAATGAAAAGCTGAAGAGAAAATTCTCTGAAACTCCCAGAAAAAAAGAGAGAGAGAAAGATAAACCTGTACATGCAAAGAGCTGGAATTGGAGAATAAAAAAGGAAGAACTAGGTCAGCATTTCTCAGGTTGAAAGAACTAAAACAAAGTCAAGCCTTGAGTTGTAAAGCTGAAAGACACTATGAGAGAAAAAAAAATCTCAAATGATCAAAGAAGCACCAAAAGAAGATGGAGGAAAAACATGAGGCCACTGTACAAAAAAGAATTGACCGACACTGAAATATCTCAAGAAGTATCATATGATCATAATAAGCTGTGGTTGACTCTGAGAAGAATGGGAATCCCAGAACATTTAATCATGCTAATAAGAAACCTATACTTGGACCAGGAGGCAGTCGTCAGAACAGAGCAGGGCAACACTGCATGGTTCAAAATTGAGAAGGGTGTATGCCAGGGATGTGTCCTATCTCCATACCTTTTCAACCTGTATGCAGAGCAGA